TAGAGTTTGATTCATAGTTTTTAAGTGCTAAAATAAATTATACCAATTTTTATATTAATCACTAATTTTATATATATGTAAATGTACTACTTATAACATATATGCCAAACTTTAAATTAATTTAAATATAAAATTTTAAGGAGTCATTTTAAAAAATTTTAAGAGAACGCTACACGCTAAATGTATTCAGTGCATCAAGACCAATTTTACCAGAAAACCATTATCCTGTGGACCCACCTTGTAATCTTTCTGACTCTGAAGTGTTTACTGTTGACCGATGCCTTTCTTAAGGTGGAGCCACTCACACAACGGCGGTGATCAAACCACCTGTTGTAAACTATGATGGTTGTGATTCACAATCAAGACACGTGGCGCGTTCTGCTTCAACCAACTTTCTGATGCTCTATGCATGCTTGGCCTCACTTTAAGTACTCCTCTATATAAACCCTACCTTACACCAGATCTCTCATGACCAAACCCACACCTCTCTTCAGTTTTTCCGTCAATTTCTTCGTCGCCATGACTGCCTCTGTTGATCCACTCGTCGTCGGCCGAGTCATTGGAGATGTAGTGGACATGTTTGTTCCTTCTGTGAACATGTCTGTTTCCTATGGTTCGAAGCATGTCGCAAACGGGTGTCAATTAAAACCCTCCATGACCATTGACCCTCCCAAAATTACCATCGCCGGCCATAATTCGAAGGATCTGTACACTTTGGTCTGTTTATTCTTCCCTTTCTCTTACTTGCATGCACAAACTTTTATTGTTTTCATATCATCGTAATTAATTTCTCGATGAACATGTGTGTTCAAGAGAGATGATGTATCATGTCTGCATGGCTTGATGCAGGTGATGACGGACCCAGATGCGCCAAGCCCCAGCGAGCCAAGTATGCGTGAATGGGTTCATTGGTCAGTTTTGTACTTTGTGTATATATACCACCGTATATATTAAGCCAAATTAAGTCTCTGTTATGTTGATTTTCACTTTTTTAGTTTTTTTTTCTTTGAAAATTTGTTAATGATTTCAGGATTGTTGTGGACATCCCTGGAGGAACTAATCCTAATCAAGGTGATCGTCAAACAGATATTTACTATTACATTAACATAATTCTCTCTCGGATGATAGTATATATTGGCTATCAATTACATTTTTTTTT